ACAACTTTTGATTGGTGGATTTTAAAAGTCACGCCAAAATCTTTCTGTCGATTGTTTATTCGGCCATTTGCAATTTCGGACAAATAAAAATTCGGCGTTTTCAGAATTCTACCAAATAAAAATTCAGTGCATAAGAATTCTGTTAAGTAAAAATTTGTTTTATAAAGAAATTCTGTCAAATATTAATTCAAAAAATAAAAATTTATCTAAAAAATAATTATATCTAATAAAATTCTTTAAAATAAAAATTTTAATTAATGATTTTTATAAGATAATCATGCGCCCCAATCTATTTAATAAAAATTTATTTTTTCTTTTTTAGAACGAGATTAAAGGAGGAAGGGAATTTGCATCATTTTAACTTGAAATTGGAAGAGATTTCTTCTTATTTGCAATTCCTGGAAAGCAATCTGGTGTCAATAAAATGTTTGTGCATTGGTTCTAGGCACAATTTTGAAGACTAAGTTCTTTACCACGAGAAAGCTAAAATAATCCCATTTTCGAGTAGATCATGAATAATAGAATCCGGGTTTGAAAGCTGAGAGCAAATGATGTTCGTATACCGAATCGAGTTGGTTTTGAACGATTGAAATTGGATAAAAAAAAATTGCGCGTTAATTAATAGTGATTACTATGAAAGAATAAATTGTCTAATCGTGTATATTCCATCGCGAAGAATACGAGGAAAATGCGAGATGAGAACATTTTTTTTTTTTTTTTTTTTGCTTAAGCTATACCTAACCTTTTAATGGTCTTCATACTTAATTTACTTTGTTCTTTTCTTTTTTTGCTTAAGTTTAGATTTGCTAATGAAGAGTGCGATTTCTAGTATTTACATAATATGTACGTAAGGTTTACTTCTAATTATGCGAAACTTCCTCTTTTCTTCAAAAGAAGAAAATAATGGAAACCAGTGGAACAGTTTTTTTTACACAGTTTTACCAGCTTATAGAAAAAAAATGGAAAACTTGCATAAAAAAAAGAAGAAAATCCCACCAGTTATGAAAATTCTGGAATCATTAAAAAAAATTCTAATTTCACAAATTGCAATATTAACTTTCTTTTACCTCGGGAATGTAGAAGAAGATTTCTTATGTTACTCAAAGAATATTGATTTATCCATAAAGCCTTATTACCATTTTTTATGTCCATAAGCTGATATAAAAATGAAATAGCATAAAAAATGGGTCAAGCGAAGAGTCGATTTTTTTCTTCTCGCATGATAGATGATTTACTGAGCTTAGATTATGTTTAAAGGTTCTTTAGAGTAGGATATTGTGGTTATATATGACTTTGTCATTGTAAAAACGCAAAAACTTTTCATTTAATTTTCACTACAGTAACAACTGCATTTTTCATTTTACTAAATTTTTATATTAATTAATAATCTTAATTAATTAATTTATTTATTTATTTATAAATACGTGTAATTATCAATTTACATAATATAAAGTAAACCTTACTTACAAACAAATTCTAGTTTTGTTAAAGCTATACGAAGAAAAATATTGTCATTTGACAAGGAAGAATTTCTTTAACAAAATATTTTTTAATGTATTTCAAAACACTTGAAAATATTTTAACTTATTTTATATTTTTTAAACCATTTCAATAAATTCTAATTGTTTTCAACTATTCCAGGTGAAATTTTCATTTCATTTTACAATTTATTAACCTTTTTATTTTTTTATTTTCCTTGTTATTAAATGTGGAACTCAGTGAATTAGGTATATAAAAAAACAAACAAATGTCCAGATAGCACGTAAGTTTGCAGCAACCGCAATATTGCCAACCTTACACGGCAAACTTACTGCAAGCTTAAAATGTCCCACCTGACCCAAGCTTAAATGGTAAGCTTACCGAAAGATTGCTGTGTAAGGTTACTGCAAGATTGCAGGTTGACAAATAACCTTACTTTAAATCTAAAAATTTTTTTAGGTTTAAAGCAAGGTTATTTGGCAACCTTGCACCCACCTTGCTATAAGCTTACCGTGCAGGCTTACTGAGTAATCTTGCGATAATCTTATTGTGCAATCTTGCTGTAACCTTTCACTGCAATCTTTCGGTAGACTTACCATGCAAGCATGGGTAAGGTTATTAAATGAACTTGTAAAATGTTTCATGATATGAGCATATTAACTAACACCACTTTCTTAGAGTAAAATAATCAGATCCGGAACTCAATATCTTAGAGACTGGTAATTTGAATTTAGCAGCTTTAGATTAGAAACTTAACGAGTTCTCATAGTAGAAAGTTGCACTTCCAAAGCTTAAGCGCGAGAACGGGACCAGGACTTACATGGGGGTAGATAGAGAGAGAGAGAGAGAGAGAGAGAGAGAGAGAGAGAGAGAAAGTGGGTTGGATGCGAGCGTGAATATTAAATTTCCTACGAGATTCTGCCGACAAATCTGCATTTTCGATAACTATAACCGCGTTATCGTCACGGTATGGGAGTCGTATGGGAAGACGCGTGATTGATTGGGCTTTCTGTGACGTTGGGGTTTATAGGACACAATTTAAAAAAAAGTCACCTTTTCACGTGGCACACACGAGAATTCTCCGGTTATATGTCGTACAATCGATTTACCAAATCGGACTATGGTTAATCGAATAATAATATTAATCGACTAATTATTATAAGCCGAAAATTGTCAACAATATGTGTACCTTCATCATCATTATCATCATAATCATCATCATCATTATATTATCTGTCTCGTCATTATCGTCAATTGTCATAATCATCGTCGTCATGGTCGTCGATTATCACCTTTAATTTACGAGTAATAAGTGATTTTACTTTTTTGTTATTAATTAATATTTCTATATCGTTATCATAATAATTAGCATTTTTTTTCTCTTATTATTCTTGTTACATTTACATTTACAGGTATTATCGTTATTATTTTTTTTTATTATTATTATTATTATTATTATTATTATTATTATTATTCATATATTTAATGTTACGCTCGTCAACATTGTTTTATTTAGCGATTATTGTTATTAAATTTTTACGATTAACAGTACACTCCATATAATTTTCAGACGAAATAGTTTTTTTTTATTTTATACTTAGATTTGCCATTAGGATTTCAAAAATAAATAAAAAAAAAAACATCGAGCAACGTGCAAAAAAGAAAATATACAATTGTCTCCTTCCAAAGAATTTCTCGTATTTTTTTTATTTCTTTTTATCTGTGTTTTTAACTTTTTTAGACTTCATGTTTTTTTCTAAAGACTTTACTTTACAGTTGTTTAAACTTTAATATTACTTCTTTTTAATATTGCTTTTGTTTCTTCATTTTGTATTTTCATTTTTCATTGTTTCATCATTTTATTTTATTTATCTTCATTTTTGATGATTAAATTTCTTTTTTATTGTTTGCAACATCCATCTCTATTATTTATATATATATATTTCCACTCTATAATTTTAATTATAATTAATTTTTCTTTGCATTTTTATTTTTACTCTTTCCTTATTTTTCTTCATCTTCATTTTTAATATTATCATATTTATTTGCTCTTTTCAATCATTTTTTTCTTATATTTTGAAAAAAGAGGTAATTTAGACAATATTACAAAATTACGATTCCATTGTCAATATTTTCATGGAAATGAAAAAATTGGAACAATTTACAAAATTAAATTCAGCATTGCCAAGATTGAATATTTGTTTTTTTTAAATCTTGAAAATTGATGAAAAATCCTAAAATATAATGTTTTTTTTTCTCTCTAAAAATTGTATATTTTCTTGATTGTGTAACATCAAGGGTATATATTATTTTTTCTGCTCTGGATACTTCAGTCATTTTCGATGCTCGATTCCTCACTCGCCTCAAACTCGATTCGTATCATTTGTATACGCGCGCATTTTTTTTTGTGTGTGCATGTGTGCGTGTTTGAATATTTATATCAATCATCTCAGCAAATTTTAAACAGTTGCATATAACATTAATTCAACAGTTATATAGAACTGTAACATTAAATATCTCTAATGGATAAATAATAAAATATTTTGCGTTATTTTATTTAAATGAAAATTATTTGTTTTTTTTTATTATTTTTTTCGACTCGTCAAAGGATGAAAATAAACTAATAATAATAATAATAGTTTCGTTCTCAAAATTTAATACTTTTTCCCTCCCATTAATTCTGTTTCTTTCAGGTTTTTTTTTTTTTTTTTTTTTTTTTTTTTTTTTTTTTTTTTGTGCTTTTTTTGAGTAAAAAAGTTAATATTCTCACGCGGATATTAGTCTACTTACCATTTATTAAAATTTAAATGGATATCAGACAATTTCTCGCGATACTTTTCATCTTTAATTTATTTATAGTCCTTTCAACTTGTTTTTTTTAAATTTATTACAAAATTCTGCTTTTTTATTTTCGCGTTCGTATCCTTTTTTTTTTTATCGAGCAGCTCGTTTCGACTGCCAGTATTAACCCCGTCTTCGATTTCTTTTTTTCACTCATACATTCAGTCTTGCAAAAAAATTTTTCTCCCACATACACTAAAACTTCTCTATCTCATCCTTGTCTAAATTTCATTCTAATTCCTCTTTACAGTCACGAAAAACATAAGACGATTTTTACAAGTTTTTAAAAATATATTTTCTTTTTCGAATTGATTAATTAAAAAGAGAAAAAGAATGCAAAACAGTCAACTTTTGAATTTTAATTTAAAAAATTAGTGATTAATATAATTTACAGTGAATGGATGAACTATTTAACACTTATTGATAATTTGGAATTTTAATGAAAAACAAAATTTCCTCTGTCTTATGTTTTTCGATGTGAATTTATCGTTTCTTAATCGGTCACGTTAAAGATCATTTGTCTTCTTTAGCTAACCGTTAATTTATCAATAAATATATTTTATGAATATCTATACACATTAACATTACGTTATTAATTTTATGTGAGCAAAGAAATTGATTATTACACCGTGACAAGGGTGTGAAAGCGCCTCTCCCAGCGCCTTTTCATGCCATATTGGTTTAATTTTTTTTTTTTTTTGTTATATAAAGTACATGTACTGTTTTTTTTGTATGTGTATGGATGTATTAATGTGTGCGTATATGTGTTTCATTCAACTCTCATCGCAATCTTTCTTTTGGTTTCTTCGCTTTTTCCGTTTCATTGTCTCTCTCTCTTTTTTTCTTTTTTTTTTTTATTATTTCATTCTTCTGTGTTCATTTCGAGCGATCGATGCGCGTGTTGGCCGAGTATCAACACTTGGAATGCTATACATTTCCACCGGCGATTAGTTCTCTTGTTATTTCTCTTCGATATCATCGATACAGAGGACATCCACCCTTGTCAAGCAAGATCGATTCATCTGTCAACGAAAAACCCTTCAATTTTGCGACCCAATCACTAAATAAATACATTTCAGTTACTATGAACTGTTATTTTTTTCGAATTAAGTTTCCTTTCGTATATTTATATATATATATATATATAATTTCTTCAATGTTTTTTATATTATATAATAAATACTTTTTTTCGCGTAAATTCTTCTTTCTCAAAATAATGTTTATAGCAAAATTATCAAATTTGCGCATCATTAATGACTAAAATAATTGCGGATTATGTAATTATAATAAGAAATGTGATCATTGCTTTTTTAAAAATATTTTTTTAAGTAGATTTTTTTTATGCGGGTGCTAAATTTTTTTTTATCTCTCTATTATGTATTTAATTTAATGATTTATTTGATAAAATATATCACTTGATTAAAATAACAATTTTTTCACAAAGTTATAAAAACAATATAAAAATTGAAATTCTTTTTCATGGGCATTTTTGTTGTTTGCAAGTTAGAATTTAGTATCAGAGGAAATGTCTGCGACTAGCATGCGAATAAGAAATCAAATTTTGAATGAAAAATGCGAATCTTGAAATTGGTCATGATTTCTCTTTTGCATGACGTGCCTTTTTCCATAAGTATTTCATCGTACATTTCGAATTTCACTACTTTCGACACTTTTTTTTGCAAAATAAAAATTACTTTATTTATAATAAAAAAAAAAAAAAAAAAAAAATTTTTCTCCTCTTTTTTTTCCAATATTCATTATAAATTCTCTTTCTATTAATTTTGAATTTTATTTAAACTCGAGAAACTTCATTTTTTTCACATTCAAGTGAAACATTTTCAATTGAGCTATAAAAAGTTTAAATTTTAAAAATCCATTAACCTAAATAAAAATTTGAATGAAATTCTTCAATATATATATTTAAAAAAAAAAATGTGCCATTCAGAAATGAATAAAATTTTCAAAAATGAATTTATTATAAATAATCAAATTTGAAACGAATTATACTTTGCAATAAAATTTGTAATTAGGAATATTATTATTAATTTAGAAAAAGGATTTTTAATCAAATTTCTTTTTTTTTTTTCAAAAAATCAATTTTACGCGTCGAGACGACCTTTTAAAAATGGATCTCCATAGGACGATATCGAAGTTTACTTAAATGTGAGATGGGAATATTTTTCACCCTCTTTTTTCTTTAACAGATTCGGTATATAATAAAGTTCTGTCAGATAACTGAGAAAATCTCAAGCTTCCCATATGATTTTGGCACATTGACGCACGACGCCCATCGGCCTCGAAGTTAAAAATTTGGCACCGACTCTCCTCGACTCAATGAATTGCCGAATCAAAGAAGGACACATAACTAATGTAATTCAAATGGGTTATGTGCCCTTTTTTGATCCGACAGCTCAATTGAAGAAAAATAAAACAACCCCCTCCTCCCCTATTATTTGGAATTGAAAAAAAAATGTCTCTTCCCCATATTCTACTTTAATAATAATACTTATCACTTTTGAGAATAATAATAATAATAACAATCTTTTCTATCACCATGTTTTTTTTATCCAACTCCTAAATATAATTTTTCTTTTTTTACTCACATTAATTTTTCTTTTCTCTCGTCCAGGCTCGGCTAGTTAAGAGCTACAGGCCGCTTTTGAGATTGGCAGTTGGTTTTTGTTTTTTTTAAGCGAATAACGTTTCCCTTTTCGATTGCTTTCATACATATACATATACAGATGATCTATATATTTATGTATATATATATATACTCAATCGTGTGTGTACCTCTGTGTAAATATATGGATGAGTGTAAATGTGAAAATGAGTCTCTTTTTAAATTTTTTTTTTCTTATAAAATCGGCAGTTCGGATTTCGACGTCTCGCCGCTCGACTCTAGCCTTACGTATGAAACCAGATTTACAAAAATACGGTTCGCGGTTTGCGGTATTTGGCACTTTAGTCTCTCCGCTTCTAAGCGTTATTATTATTTTTTTTATTTTTTTTTTTTTGGCTCTCCTGACTTGAATTTGGCACCGGGGGTTTGTTTCCCTGACATTGGCAGATTATCCCACGCACTTTTTTTAGCCACTCGAGGCAACAACAACATCAACAATAATAATAATAATAAAAAATAGAAAAAAAATGTCGGTGGCACACGAGAATTGATGTTTCTCTTCTTTTTTGTTTCGAAGTGACAAATTTATAATATGGTACGTGTGTGTATTATTATTATTTTCTATACGATTTTTATTTATTTTTTTTTTTTGCCAAAAAGCGGAAGTGGCGCGTATCGCATTTTGATGCCGCAATCGCTTTAATTTTCAATTATTACTTGTTCGTCGTTGTCGCGACGCTGTTTTTTTTTTTTTTTTTTTTTGAAGGAACTTGTAAAAAAAAATTTTTTTCTTTTCTTTTCCTTTCATTGTTCAGCGTTTATCTGTGAAGAAGCAACGACTATAGATATAAGGCCGATACCTCCAATCGTGTGATGATCGTAGCGCGCATGTAGCGCAAAATTGTCAACTAGTCCTCTTCGGGACCCATGTTCATCAACATCATCTTCTTTTTTGCGATCTTACTGTACTTTATATCAATCGGCTTTGTGTTATCGTAGAGGCACGGCGCCTGAAGAATGATTAATGCTGTTCCAATGATACATGCTAACGTGAAGATCCAAAGAAAGATTCTGTCAAGGACCATAGCGACGTACTTCCAATCTTCTACGACCTGCAAGCATAAAGAAAACGCTCAATGTCATTATTCTAAAAGAAAAAAAAACACATCAATCAGTGGTATCTTTATATATATATATATATAAACTCCCGTTTGAAAAATAATCTTTATTGGGATCTGACATGGGAGCGGGGCCTAAAGCAATATGGCGTAAATTGGGTAACACTTTTAGTGAATTTACATGGGAATAACATGGGATGCATGTTTAAAAATCGTTTAAAAAATATTGCTTAATTTAATAAATGTATAAGTGAATTTTTTTAATACAAAATCACTATTTACATTCCTATTTACAAACATGAATAAAAATATAAAAGAAATCTTATTTTTACACAAATTATTTTCTCAAATCCAGCGATACATGTGCAAGAAAAGTATTGTATTTTCCTTTATATTTCATGTAATTATATGAAAATTTATAAATGTATGTATTTCATTTTTCATTGTAAAAGTCTGTTAACAAGAAGTGAAAAAAAAATTTATTTATCCGTTTTTACAGTGATAAATTAACTTTCAAAATGTTCACATGCACGGGTAATATGAAAGATTATATAACCTCCAAATTTTAAAATCTTAAACTTACATGGCAAAATGTAATCACTTCTTTTGAAAGGCAGAGAACATACTCTCATAGAAGGCTTTATACCAGGGACTGTCTCGAAATATTTGTGTCGTGTCCGTGTAGTGTCGCGACTCGACACGTTTGAAAACAATTAAAAGTATCGTGGTGAGACCCGACACTTTTAAAACTTTTCAAACGTATCGTGGCACGACCCGACACAGTTAAGAAATTCATAATTGTATCGTGGCGAACCACGATACATTTAGAAATTTGTAATCGTATTGTGGCAGGACTGGACACGTTTACGAATTTCCAAAAGTATCGTGGCGCGACTAGACACAATAAAAATTTGAGAATCGTATCGTGGGGCTGAACTACACGACACAATACAAAAATAATTATGAATTTCGTGTCGCATACAATGAAACTTGTTGATCAACATCTTGACAGTTTATTAATCCTTCAATAACATTTCAAGAAATAAAATTAAAATAAAATAGATATAGATTGAATATATATCAAATGTAAATTATTATATTATATTATATTATATTATATTATATTATATTATATTATATTATATTATATTATATTATATTATATTATTTCCACGAATTTCTGTTTTCATCCTATACTGTTTATTTTCATGTATTTCTTTTTGTATTATCAACAACTTATTGTCTAGTATGTAAACAAACCACACTTAAAATTAAAAATAATTTTGTTCAATAAAATTAATAGATTAATTTAATTTATTAACATTTTAATATTATTATGATTTAAAGAATTGAAAAAAATGTAAGACTTGATTACGAATTCAATATCAGCTTTTCAAAATTCAAAATGGCGGATCCAATATACCGAATCAAAATAACTAAAAATGGGCAAATTCGTCTAAACCATGTTACCCAGGGGTTTTCGGGGTCGCTGATTACGAATCTGACATCAGTTTTTCAAAGTTCAAAATGGCGGATCCAATATGGCGGAAGACAAAATAAAAAATTAATCGGATTGTATTAAAAACCTATTACTCGGGGGTTTTCAGGCTCATTAATTACGAATTGTGACAAAAGTATTTCAAAATTTAAAATGGCGGATCCAATATGGCGGACGACAAAATAAAAAATTAATCGGATTGGATTGAAACCGGTTACTGAGGGGTTTTCAGGGTCGCTGATTACAAATGTAACATCAGTTTTTTAGGGTTTCGTGGCCCATGGCCGAAAGCCTTATAGTTTCACTTTGGCGTCCGTCTGTCCGTAGTATATTTTGGGGCACCACAGCTCCCAAAATCAAATTTTAGGGCACAGATCCCAAATTAAAATTTTGGGGCCCCACAGATCCCAAATTAAACTTTTGGGGCACCACAGATCCCAAATTCAAATTTTGGGGCCCCACAGATCCCAAATTAAACTTTTGGGGCATCACAGATCCCAAATTCAAATTTTGGGGCCCCACAGATCCCACACCCTAAAAAAAGTAATTTTCAATCTAGAGGATTCCTCTAAAATAAATGCATATTTTCCTCTTAATTTTGGTATCAAAATTATTATTCTTCATTTAAGAGGATTTTCCTCTTAAATTAAATGTTGACATCCAAACCTCGTAAAATTGTTTTTAATGTCAAAGCCATCAATAAAATATTTATAATTTCAATCAAATAATAAAATCTTTGCAGAAAATACATTTTTAAATTAAAATTAAGTAAAATTATAATAGTTCACTTCAATATAATAATAAAAATTGATTTTTAATATAACATTAACAATGTCATGTTTTTGGTTAATTATCAACATTTTATATTGATAATTAAAATACAAAAAATAAGTTTTCATTAATCAGTTGTAATGATCAAAGAGATTTTCAGCGCAAAAATAATTTTAAAACATGATGATATGTTTAAAAGTTAACATTTTTTATAGGACAGAAAAAAATTTCATATATGAAATTATTTAACGTTTTAAAACTTTTTTAAAAAAATAAATAAAAAGATTTAAAAAATTTCGAAAGATTCAAAAATAGGGTTATAGTATTTCTATTTACCTGAGTAGTAAAATTTCACAAGAAATATCCAAATTTTTTTAAATCTAAAAATAGCGTTAATAATATTCATTTAATTTGAATTTAACTATATTTTCTGTATTTTTAATAAAGCAAATCCATTTTTTTGTCCTTTTTGTTGACATTTTACCAGAAATATTAAAACTGAAAGGTTAAAAAACAACTTCACAACTATCATATCCAGGGAAAGGGATCAAACGATTACATTATTTTTTTCCGTTTCCTTTTTTTAAATCTTCTAAATTTAAAACAGAAAATCTTAATTAAAGAGGAAAATACAAAAGGAATCCTTTTGTCATTCTTCCATTAAAATGAAGAATAAAAATATTCTACATTTCAATTGAATAATCTTGTTTTAAGAGGAAATATTTAGAGGATATTAGAAGAGGAATTTTCCTCTGAATATAAGATTACTTTTTTTTGGGTGCAAATTAAACTTTTGGGGCACCACAGATCCCAAATTCAAATTTTGGGCAAACATAGCTTCCAAATTCGAATTTTGGGGCACCACAGATCCCAAATTCAAATTTTGGGGCACCATAGCTCCCAAATTCAAATGTTGGGGCCCACAGATCCCAAATCTCCATTTACTGAATGGACATTTTCCCGAATGGACATTACATAAATGGACATTACATGTCCCATTAGTTAACATGCCCCTATAATTGACATGTCCCAGTAGTTGACCTGTCTCAATAATTGACATGTCCCAATAGTTGACATGTCCCTATAGTTGACATGTCCCAGTAGTTGACATTAAAATTTAAAGCGCCACGAAACCCTAGATGTAGGCGCAATTGCGCCTAGTTCTTTTCCTATTTTTAATATTCAAAATGGCGGATCTAATATGCTGAACAATTTTTTAAAAAGGATCGGATCTTTTGAAACTTGTTACTCGAGCGTTTTTTGGGACATTTTGAATTTTGAAATACTTTTGTCACAATTCGTAATCAATGACCCTGAAAACCCCCGAGTAATAGGTTTTTAATACAATCCGATTAATTTTTTATTTTGTCTTCCGCCATATTGGATCCGCCATTTTGAACTTTGAAAAACTGATGTCAGATTCGTAATCAGCGACCCCGAAAACCCCTGGGTAACATGGTTTAGACGAATTTGCCCATTTTTAGTTATTTTGATTCGGTATATTGGATCCGCCATTTTGAATTTTGAAAAGCTGATATTGAATTCGTAATCAAGTCTTACATTTTTTTCAATTCTTTAAATCATAATAATATTAAAATGTTAATAAATTAAATTAATCTATTAATTTTATTGAACAAAATTATTTTTAATTTTAAGTGTGGTTTGTTTACATACTAGACAATAAGTTGTTGATAATACAAAAAGAAATACATGAAAATAAACAGTATAGGATGAAAACAGAAATTCGTGGAAATAATATAATATAATATAATATAATATAATATAATATAATATAATATAATATAATATAATATAATATAATATAATATAATATAATATAATATAATATAATATAATATAATATAATATAATATAATATAATATAATATAATATAATATAATATAATATAATATAATATAATATAATATAATATAAAAATTATATATTATTGTATATTATTTTGTATGCATATTATTATTAGTATTATTATAATTCCATATATACTATATTATAATAGATAATACATAATAGATAAGTTTAAATTAATTGAACAATTTTTTTTCATGCGACACGACATATTTATGCAGAATTATCGTGTCGTGGCAAGTCATGATACGATACGATTCTCAAATTGTTAATGTGTCTAGTCGCGCCACGATACTTTTGGAAATTCGTAAACGTGTCCAGTCCTGCCACGATACGATTACAAATTTCTAAACGTATCGTGCTTCGACACGATACAATTATGAATTTCTTAACTGTGTCGGGTCGTGCCACGATACGTTTGAAAAGTTTTAAAAGTGTCGGGTCTCGCCACGATACTTTTAATTGTTTTCAAACGTGTCGAGTCGCGACACTACACGGACACTTTCTTAAAATTCAACAACATTTCGTGTCCGAGACAGTCCCTGCTTTATACTATTTATTTTTAAAGCATTTTTCCAGGCCTTTAATTGATCGACTTTTTCAAAATTATCGAACGTATATTTCACATCCACTACTCGTTGTTTTGGTTTCGGTTTATGGAAAATTACGATTAAATTTTTCGCTACAGTACTGCCACAGCCTCTCACAGAACACTTAATTCTGCAGGAAGATTTCTCACGCGGTAAAAATGTAGCTTCATTTATAATGATAAAATAATTAACAATGACAGCGGAACTACAATTGCAAGTGACACAAACAGTTATCCAAAACTAGTTACATTTTTCAACACCAGATGGC